CAGGAATGGCCACACACAATCCCTTCTTCGTTCTCCTCCTGGGATTTTTGGACATGCACACATGCATGTGTGCTCAGTGTGACTTTCAAGCTGCCATGTCTAGCCCATGAACCATGGTAGGCCATGTGAGAGTCCAGTGCCACCTTAACCTCTACCTAATGGCCTGTTGTGTGTGTGTGTGTGTGTGTGTGTGTGTGTGTATCTTTTATATTATATATATTATTTTATATACACACACACACACACACACACACACACACACAAAGGGGAGGTAGAGAAAGTGAGAAATCACCCCTCCCAAATGGCCATGCAGCAATTACTTCTTGTCCAGTCTCCTTTCAGGATTTTGAGTGTGCATAGGCATACACACACACACACACACACACACACACACACACACAAACATTCCTGGCATGATTTTCAAGACACTGTGTCCTGGGGTATTGATGACGTGCGATCCAGCTGCCTTAACCTCCATTCCACCTGCTGGCCTCTTATATATTTATTTTAACTTTCTATAGGGTACATGAGCTTGCCAGAGAGAGGCAGAAAGAGAAAGTGAGAAAGCAAACCCAGGATTGGTGCCACACCACAATCCCCTCTTCTCCATTTTCCTCTCAGGATTTTGGGCACATATGCACATGAGCCCAGCATGTTTTTCAAGCCACTAGGTCCTGGACTGGAACTGTGCAGTTGGCCATGTAGTATCCAACCACCTTAACCAACCCACCACCAGCTGGCCCAAAGACTTTATTTTAATGTATTAAGTCATATTTTAAAAAATTGAATTTTGGATTTTGTCTTGCTTAAATGTTTATAATTTGTTTTTACTTCTTTAACCCTTAAACTCCTTCTTGTCTTCATTTCTCCTTCCATTTGATAACAATTTCACTTTATGTTTAATTAGCCATGGATAGTTTTCTAATCTGTTTAATTGATTTGTTTAATCTTTTCCCTCACAATTTTTTTTTTTGAGAGGTTTTTGCTATAGGGCACATGCACTCGCCAGAGAGACACAGAGAGACAGAGACAAAAAGCGAGAAATCACCCCCCAGGGGGGATGGCCACACCACAATCCCTTCTCCTCCATTCTCCTCTCAGGATCTTGGGCTCGCACGCACATGCGCCTGGTGTGAATTTAAGCCACCGGGTCCAGGACTTGAACCATAGTCGACTACATGGGAATCAAGAAACATTGGGAACCAGCAGTTAGCGTAATGGCTATGTTGCTGGACTCCCACATAGCCGACCACGGTTCACGTCCTGGACTCGGTGGCTTAAAACTCATGCCGGGCGCATGTGCATGCGTGCCCAGGATCCAGAGAGGAGAATGGAGAAGAAGGGATTGCGACGTGACCATCCCCTCTGGGGGGTGATTTCTCACTTTCTGTCTCTATGTCTCTCTCTGTCTGTCTGGCAACGCACGTGCCCTATAATGAAAAAAACCTCTCCAAAATAAAAAAAAGAAACATAGCCATTATGCTAACTGCTGGTCCCTTCTCTCACATATTAAACACTGTCATATAGAAAGTAATTTCTTTTGAATCAAAAACCTATTGATAAAAGGGCTTTTCTATGGTATATTTTAAACTTCTATCCATTTAGATTTTTTATTTTTGCCCTATATATGTGTATACATAATTATTTATATCTGTGAGAAGTTGAAATTTTTGAAAAAAAAAATACTAATTTTATTAGCCATTTAAACCCATATTCTCGTAAATGTGTTTTTTCCTGTGACCCCTTTTTAGACAGTAAAACAAAGACTGGAATAAAAACCTACCTGCCCCAAATTAAGTCAACAGTAAGACAGGAGGAGAATTCTGTATAAACTCTTCAGTGGTTGGAAAATATTGCTCCCAAAAGACCTGTTAAGGAGATAGTCACTTGAGAAAGGAGGAGGAGTAAGGAAGCAGAGCAAAGGTCACTGTAGGGAGAACTAGTTAGTAAGAATTAGTAGCTAGAGAATACCTACATTCATTTTATTTTAACTTCTATGAAAATTGCTTTTTGACCAAGTGTCAGCAATCACTTGCAAACATTCCATTGTGATATGACAGTAAGACAAAGTCCCTGTGGCTCTGCTGATTAATGTGCTTTATGGGTACATTGGAGGCCCCTTGCTTTGCTTGGTTCTTCACTCACAATCAGATCTGCAGCCATCAGCACTGCCCTTTAGTCTCATGGGTCTTGTTAAGCATAGCATTGTTGGCAACTTTACTGTTAAATGCAGTTATTTCCATGTCTGACCCCCTCCTCCCAAAAGAGTTTTCTAGAATTTAAAATTTCTAATTTTCTCTGCAGATATGGAGAATTTCATGGATACAGACCAGAGGAAAATGATTTCTCAAGGACATGCAGCAGTTCTAAACTTAATGCCCATCACCAGCTGCCCCAGACCTCAAGTGACTTGGTTTAGAGAAGGACATAAGATTATTCCAAGCAACAGAATGTAAGTTACTCTAAACATTTAAAGCTTCAAATGCTATTAATTACACTTATTGGATCTATCTACCTAGTGTTTCAGTTAAGGTTAACTGTGATTTACAAAGGATAACTTAGTCTAGTGGTCCTACCCCAGTCCTCAATAAACAGCTTTATAAAGACTAACTTGGATGTTTTTAAGCAATATAAGCAAATAGCCATATAATGTTATTCTTCAGTATGTTGCATACCCTAAAACTGAAGTACCTTTACCTACTATTTGCAGTCACTTTTTTCTTTTTTGTTTTAAATGCACTTTTTAAGATGTCATTTTTATACCTGAGCTGTGTTTAGCTCCAAGTACTAATTTAATGAGTGCTGGTATTTACTTAAAGAGCTATGGAGGGTTTTCTCTCCCCCTCTTTTTATTAAGCTGCATTTGGTACTACTTTCTTTGACGATAAAACAGTAATTACTGCTTATTTCTCTTTATCCTTTTATCCTACCGTGACAGTTTTATTTCTCTTTGTCTAATTAGTGGTTCACCCATCTATTGCAGAGTAGTTGCTTTGTGATTAGTTAAGCATTATTTCAAGGTGTTCTTCTCTATCCCACATTCCAGCTATTTATCTAGTGCCAGACAGGTTTTCTTCACTTGGAGTTTTAAGTAATTAAAAAGAACATTTGATATATACTTAATAACTGGGCATTTTGTAATCTTATTTAAAGACAATATTCCAAATATAAAGGCTTCAAGGATGAAAATTTCCAAAAGAATCATGAAGTACTATAAACTGAGGCTGAAAGTCAAATATGCTGTCAGGTGGTTGCACTCAGATAAAAATTTATGAGAGGAAAAAGCGCTTGTTTTCATTAAATTTTATTTCTAGATTTTTTTTTATATGTATAGGACAATTTATTTAATAGGTTTCAAATGTAATTATGAATATAACTGTGGGGTATAAACTTGTGTTCTTCCCTCCTAAGCATATATGGAATCTCTCCTCTAAGCCTGATATATACATTCTTTTACCTTGGCATCTGAACCCTACTTCAAACTACACTATTTTTAAGTTTATTTAGGAAATGTTTATCTTTTTGGTTATTGGAAATAGGAAAAAAAAGTGGAAATACAGGTTGGTTATCCTTTACCTGAAACTCTGAAGACCAAAATGTTCTTGTGTCCAAAACTTTTTGAATGCTGACATAACACTACAAATAGAAAATTTCACACTTGACTTCATGTGACCAGTTATAGTCAAAACATTGTAATACAAAAAATATTGAACAAAATTACCAGTAGCTAAAATGTGTACATGTTGTATATGAAACAAATTTCGTATTTACACTTGTGTCCTATTCCCAAGATACCTTATTATGTATATATAAATATTCAAAAATCAAAAAACATCCAACATCTGATATGTTTCTTGCTGTAAGCATTTCAGATAAGGGATATTTAACCTTTATGTATAAATATCATATTTTAAACTTCTAGCAAAAATACCAGTTACCTTAGAAAATAGGATAACTGCTATCCTTTCTCCTTTATTTTATTAAAAGTTACTTATGTATACATCCTTATAATATTGATTTCAGTATTAACAGATGACTCTTGAGTTTGGCTGAAACAAAGATGGAGGATCAATTTCTCACTATCTAAGCAAACAGGTTGAAAAAAAGGCAGCTAACATACATTCTTGTGGAAATATTCTGGAATGTTATAGTATTGAGCACAGAATGTTCAGGTGAAGAAACTGGGATAATTGCTGGTGGAGAATTGGTACCAAGAAAAGGAAGCTATGTTGAATTAGGCTTCCTTGCAAACACAGGAGCTTTCAATTAATGTGAGTGGCAACAACATTCATGGTGGAAGGCTTATTTTAACCTGATAGAAAATAAGTATGATAAATTTATTTGTTAACTTGTGTTCTAGCTATCTTCATGAAACACCCTTTATTCAAGAATGTATAAAAGGGTATACAATGAAATAACTCTTAATTTCATAAGTTTTTTTAATTTGCAAATTCATGCCAAAGGCTGTTTGATTCTTTTTAAAATATATTTTTATTTCAATTTCTTTTATACATTCAATCACATATGTAATTTAGCTTGCAAAGTGAATATTCCAACATGTATACATTTCTCACTGGTACAGTTAAGAATACACATTAAATTAACTTCACTAGGTAATAACCCATTTATTTGTCCCATAATTGCCTTGCCTCTCTATTTTTCTCCATAGTCGATAACAGTTCAAGTCCTGTAACTGGTGGCTTAAACTCACGCCGGGAGCATGTGCGTGTGTGCCCAAGATCCCCAGAGGAGAATGGAGGAGAAGGGATTGCAGTGTGGCCATTCCCCCTGGGGGGTGATTTCTTGCTTTTTGTCTCTATGTCTCTCTCTGTCTTTCTGGTGAGCACTCACACCCTTTGGTAAAAACCTTTCCAAAAAAAGGAACCAGCAGTTAGCATAATGGCTATGTCGCTGGATTCCCACGTAGTCGACCGCGGTTCGTGTCCCGGACCCGGTGGCTTAAAACTCATGCCGGGCGCGTGTGCGTGCGTGCCCAAGATCCCGAGAGGAGAATGGAGGAGAAGTGATTGTGGCGTGACCATCCCCCCTGGGGGGTGATTTCTCGCTTTCTGTCTCTATGTCTCTCTCTGTCTGTCTGGCGAGCGCACGCGCCCTACAGTGAAAATCTCTCCAAAAAAAAAAAAAAAAAAAAAACCTTTCCAAAAAAAAAAAAAGGCAGTATAGGCAGTATATGTTCTTTAAAATAGAAGAGATAAGGCTGATTATGGATGTTTACACTTTTATAAGGCCCCTTTGGTTTCATATTTTCCACCTCATCATCACCCCACATTTATTAATTACTTACTATGCTTTATATCATAAATCAGTATGTGCATGGTTTTCTACACAAGGTCATGTATCATTCAAAAATATATTGATTTCTACTTCTAAGAAAGTCAGCTTTTGACTGCAGATGGGAGGACATTTCTGCAAAGCTCTTGCCTAGATGATCAACAGGTTTTAACCTCTTTTTGTGAGATTAGTTCCCTAACACAAGGGAGAGTTGAACCTTTGTCATATGGTAAAGGATCCTCATCCCCACCCCTACTTTTTAACATTATCTCATGATCTTTAAAATATGCGCTTTGTGTTTATTATTAAAGTAATATTTTTTTCATTTTCAAGGAAAACAGTTAAGACTAATATTTCTCAACTTTAAACGTCAGTTGAACCTCTTTTTTTTGGGGGGGAGAGGTTTTATTTTATTTTTTTTATTTTTTATTTTTTGCGCTATAGGGTACATGCACTCGCCAGAGACAGAGAGGCAGAAAGCAAAAAATCATCCTCTAGAGGGGATGGCCATGCTGCAATCCCTTCTCCTTCATTTTCCTCTTGGGATCTTGGGCACGCATGCACACATGCGTGCCTGGCGTGAGTTGATGCCACCAGGTCTGGGACTCAAACCGTGGTTGACTACATGGGAGTCCAGCGACATAGCCATTACGCCAACTTCTGGTCCCTGAACCTGTTATTAATAACGTCAACAACTATTACTTACTAACTACTTTAAACATATCTTCACTAATTCTCACAATTGCCTCCTGAGTCAGGTAAAATTAATTCTACTTGTAGCTGTTAGAACTGAAGATTAGAAATGTTAAACAGTTTACTCAAGATCACACAGCCAATGGCAGAGGTAGTATTTAGACCTAATTTGATGTGGCTTTCAATCCATTCTCCCTTCTGTATCAAGCTGGTTCTCTTTTTTTTTTTTTTTTTTCACTTTGTTTACTGAAGGTTATTTGTGCTTTTGATTATTTTTTTTTATACATTGTTTCAGTCTTTTTTTTTTTCTCCTTTAGAAGACCAGGTTTCAATTAGAAACCTTGAGTTTGCATAGAAATTGTGAAAAGTGTCAGATACTGATATATTTTTTAAGTAGAATCAGTTGGATTTCCTGATAGATTGGATATGAGATGATAAATGTATAAATATATGATTAAGCCACTATGCAGTATATTCTGGATGGGAAATCATATTTTGTATGCTGTGACAATGTTCAGTGAATGAATGTAAATTAATTAAAAACAAAAAAATTAAAAGAAAAAATAAAATAAAAATAATTATCTTTAAAAAAAGAAAATAAAGAAGGCATGGCTAACTAAATTTTTTTTGGCCTGAAAAACTGATAGGCCAACTGATAGGATGGAGTTACCATTTCCTGAAATGGAGAGACAATTTTTTTTTTTTTTTTGGGAGGTTTTTGCATTTTTTTTTGAGAGGTTTTTGCTATAGAGCGCGTGTGCCTGCCAGACAGACAGAGAGAGACAGAGAGACAGAAAGCGAGAAATCACCCCCCAGGGGGGATGGCCACGCCACAATCCCTTCACCTCCATTCTCCTCTCAGGACTCTTGGGCACGCATGCACATGTGCCCGGCGTGAGTTTTAAGCCACCGGGTCTGGGGCGTGAACCACGGTCGACTACATGGGAGTCCAGCGACATAGCCATTACGCTAACTGCTGGTTCCTGGAGAGACCATTTTGAAAGAAGTAAATTTTGTGTGTATGTGTATGGGAATATTTGTTTTGGATGTGTTAAGTTGGAAAGAACATAATATTCAATAGATAGCCAAAAGGAGTCAAGTATTGGATAGTTGTGTATTTTGGACTCAAAGTCAGTGAAGAAGTTTAAGTTAAATTTGGGAGTTGTTGGTTTACTCATGGTATTTAGTTCTTTACAAATCTATAAAATATATAACCAGTAGGCTAAACCCAAAGAGTTGCACTGTATTGTTATTCATTAAAATGCTCTTATCTGCACAGAGGCTGACTTTGGCTGTCTTACAAACAAAAAATTTATTGGAGAATTATTATTTATTAAGAAATTATAGAACTAAACTAGTAAGAGTGGTCTCAGTTGAAACCAGTGTTAGTCCTTAGTCCTAAGGCCAAGGAATAGCAAGCAAATCAACAGTATAATGGTCTCCCAAAGACATTTGGGTTTTATTGAT